CGGGGGGCGGGGGGGGACCCTGGCTGGCCTGAGACCCAGTGGAAAAGCCCAATGCACAAATCTCAGTGGCAGAAAGTGTAGGAGCAGCAGGATCACCCTGTAGACACCGAGTGTCCGATGTCTGGGCCAGGGTGCAGGAGGAGGAGGGAGAGAAAGGCCCACCCTGCACTAGGAGGGACCTCCAAGCTGCAGACCCTCCCCCGCCCACTTCCGGGGCTGCGAGGCCAGTTCGATGACTCAGAAATTTCAGAGGAAGGAGGGACCCCAGGCTCCTCACCCCTGGGGACCAGCCCAAGCCAGAATCCCCTATCCTTTACACGCTTCGGCCTCCCAGACCAGAGGCAGGAACGCCTGGGTGCGAAGCCTGCAGCGGGCAGACTCAGGTCCCGACAGGCACAGAGGCTGTCACTTCGGTTCTTCGGCTCTGTGTCTCTTCCCCACAAGGCCAGGTTCATGCCCTGTCCTCAAACTGTCCCAGTCCCCTGTTCCCTGCAGAAGCAGAGGCTAGCGTCCAGGATGTGACACTGCAAGGGTCAAGGTCATGGATAGATGAGGGCCCTTTCCTAGAGCCCACAGCAGTTCATACAGGAAAGGCCCCGCTGGGTCGCTTCCCCTGGAAATATACAAGGATGGGGGGTGTAGCAACCGCTATCCTCAATCCTCACCCCCTACCCAGGCCTGGCCTAGGAGGGCCCGCCCCCGCACAAAAACAGAACAAAACAAAAACAAACAAACAAACAAAAAACAGCAAAGCGAGAATGAGGACCCTGGATTCTATGGTCCCCAGTCATCCAGCAACTCCCACTGGCCCAGGAGGGCCTGTCCAGAGGCCACTCCTGAGGGCAGAATGGCCCAACGAGGGTTCTGAGTGCCGCTTCCCAGCCCAGGCCCAAACAGCCTGTCCCTCGGCTTCTCCCTCCACCTACCGGTGCCCAGGTCACCTCTTTGAGCCAAAGACCCCTCCCTGCGCATGATGGGCTCATTAAATAAGCAGGGGTGCAGCCAGCAAGGGAAGCTCTGAAACAGGCTGGGAGGGCACGCTGGGACCGCTCTCCCTCTGCCTGGGGCCACCAGCTCCATGGTGCAGGGTGGCTACAGCTGGTCTGGTCAGCAGGGCCCAGCTCTGGGCAAGTGCCAGGCACAGGAGCCTGGTTCAGACTCACACAGCCTAGTAAGCCCCGAAGGCACTGAGGCTGACAGCCAAGTGACTCTCATCCAGGGGCCAACAAGGTCTCAGGAAAGGTTTCATGTATTGGCTCCCTGACCAGCCTCCAAACCCAGCCAGACTCGACTTCCAGAGAGGGGCCGAGTCTTCAGCTCCAAACCCAGCAGCGCACGTCCATGCCGGGCCCCACTCCATGTACCCAGATATATCATCGTGAGTGAACCTCATTATGCCACTGCCAGGAGATGCTCTCCCCAGCCTGGTTTGAATGGTGAGGTTCAGAGAGGGTTGGCAACCGAGCCGGAATATACAGCGAGGAAGTGGCGGGCTGGGAACCGAACCCAGGGTCCTGGCACTAGTGAGTCAGAGGACCCGTCATCCAGAGAAGCCGGGACAGGGGGAAAGGGGATGAATGGTTGTTTCAGAGAAGTGAGGCAGGATGCAGACATTTTTTGAGGAAGTTTGGGGGTTCCATTCAAGGCTGCTGTATGAGCCAGGCAGGCTCTGGGCGAGGAGGGGACACGCAGAGGGGACACAGACACAAAAGACTCTGAGAGGAGGTTTGTAGGTGAACCAAGGGCTGGACAGGGGAACAGGAAAAAAATACATATAAGTTGCAGTAATTAATATAATTAAAAACTAGGGAAAAGGTGAATGAGAAGAATAGTGGTACCCATGATGGGAATGAGGAACTGGGCGGGGATCTTTCCAGGGTAGGAAGGGGGTGGCTGAGGGGAGGCACCAGGCCAGAGGGGCCACCGCAGCCTGAGCCTGGATGAGGGACACGTGACAGAGGAGTTGAGGCTGGAGAGCCAGCCTAGAGATCTAAAGAGGGGCCATCCCAGGGGTTAGATGGAGGCTTCCAGAAGAATGGGACAACGGTGTCATACGTGGGAACAGA